AATGCTGCCTCGCTGCGTTTTTATCTCACTCTCTCTTGCTTTTCCTCTTAACAGTGGATCAGATCAATACAGTTTGCCTCTGGCCCAGACCTTTGCACTAAAACCAATTGTTCCTGGAACTCTGTACGAGCAGAGCCCGCATGACTTTTCCGCGAAGCGTGTCTGGCTTTTGCATCTGGCGAAATGTGCTGCATTTAACATTTGCTTCAGTTTAAAAGAAAACATGTTTATTTTGCTTAACGTCTTGTCATGGATGTGGACAACTTCTCAACTAACAGATAAGCTAGTTATATGTAGCCGGACGACAAATACAGCCTGGCTATTTGAAAAACCCTTAATATCAAATACCTCTTATTCAGTAAAGGACTAGATGTTACAATCCCTGACAATGCATTGCTTTAATGCATCGTCTCATAAAGAACTTGATGAGAAGCGTGTTAGCATACACAGCACAGTAAGACTGTAGCCAGAAGCTGGTTAGCTTGGTTACTCCACCAAAAACAGACTCACACACATAACTTCACTTAAAGCCTATTTGCCTAGATTAAAGAAAATAAATTAATAGTGTTGAATGAGTTTAAGTTTCTTCCTGTTTTTCCAATCTTTATGCTAAGCTAAGCTAGCCAGATTCTCCGTTTAGCTTGTTATTTACCTCCAGTCACGTAGCTCTCAGCAGTGATCTCTACTACCCAGATTGTTTGCAAGGATTTGATCCTGAAAAACGAGTGACCCTTTTTAACCCACATTCAGCAGTGAGATCACAAAGCAGCTTGAACTCACTGCCTGCCAAACATCTGCTCTGAGACCAGACAGACACCGGATGTTACTGTGAGGGTAATGCAAACTAGTGAACTGTGTGAAATTGCAGAAAGTGCCTCTACAGTATACTGGATAATGTGCTGACTCATGCCATCTCTTTTTTTCCTCTTTGGCACAAACACTGAGTAACCTGAGAGAGAGATAGTGATGAGTAATTTACTTTTGACACAAAGTACCATCAACAGAAATTCAGAAACGAGGTTCCCCAGAAGAACATTGCCTCAAACCTCCTCTCTCTCCTTCTGTTGCTCCATTGTCCAGTTCTGAGACTCGTGTGGCCGCTGTAGGCACTTTCAGTGATGGATGCTACAGTATCTGTTGTCAGTTTGCCCCTCAGCAAACTGTGATGCACTGTGTGTTCTGGCACCTGCACTATAAGGACAAAAGTATCTTAATTTTTGAATTCAAGGGCTTTTAGTCCCCACTTCTCACAAGTGGATAAAATCAAGCACCTAGTCACGCAGCTTGCCTTTGCAAATATTTATGAAAGAATGCATCATTCTAAAGAACTTGTGAATTTAACTCTGGTGTTGTAATAAGATGTTTGAAAAACGTCTCATCTTCTTCATAATCCAAGTGGTATTATTGCAGAGTGGAAGTTAGTGAGCTCCCAGTTTGGATTTGGGAGACAGACACCCTCTCTCATTTTATGATTAGGCTTAAAACTTTCCTTTTTGATAAAGTGAATAGATAGGGCTGAATCAGGTGAGCCTGGATTGACCCTGGCTATAGGCTGCTCCTTACTCACTATGTGTTTATACACCGCTCTGCAATTAATCATTAGCTATTATTAACCATTTTTTGCATGAATTATGACAACCTCAATCATTCTTTTCTTAAGTATTTTTCATCTTTAGGCATAAAAAAAGATACGGTAAACGAGTAGTAAAGGAGTGATTACACTGATCCATCAGCAATATAAATGCAGGGCCATCTGTTATTTTGCGGCCACGATAAAATACCTTTTGCTGCTTCTAATGTGAAATCTTTGGCACAGACATTTTGGACTGTTGTTGCTGATGTTGGGCTGATGATTATAAGCATTATTAACTGTCTTGGCTTCACATGCTCATGCAGCAAGGTACTAATTTTGTGAAGCTAGGCTCTCGTGGAAGACTATGATTACCGCCCAGACCTTAAGAAGGCATAATACGAGTGCTAATAATCGAAGAGAGCAGTGTCAGTAGAGCAGAGTGTCATTATAAATGAAAAAAAAAAACATACAAAAGAAATCTCCCTCCTAGTCCTTTTCATTAGTTGACAGTTTATTCTCCAGTGAGAGGACTAAATAAGGACTGTCATTGGCTGCTGAGGCTAAATAGTTTGTGGGCCCAGCTGGTCAGTCACAAGGGAGAGAATTAAAGGCTAAAAATGGAAGCAATTTTCTTGCAAGATTAGCCTGCGAGGAAACTGAGAAAGATGAGTTTAATGAAGCTTTATGTCACAAAATTTACCCATTCAGTTATTTGGTGGTGGATTTCATCTTAATTTTAATTTGGTATTAAAGTCTTACGTTGTGATTAACATACAGCATTGTAATTACTTTGCAACACAGCAGAAAAAGAAATCAGGAGGAAGAGTTGGAAGCATAATAAACTTCCTGCACTCTGCATAAACGATTCAGAGCGAAGAGATTTTTATTGTGCTGATAAAAAGATTTCTATAAGTCAGTTATGTAAAAGTTTCTCTGGAACTGTATTTGTAAAATGAAAACCGTGCCCTCAATAGAGGCTTTCATTGTTTACTAAAGAGAGCCATCTACTGGAGAATAGCCTATAATGAACTGTATTCAAACAGATGTAAATTGCATAGTTTTGGGCTTTAATTTGGTGTTTTTTGTCAGATTCCACATAGAAAAATAAGAACAAACACACACGGTTATACTTGCTCCAAAATAAAAGACAAAACATATTATCCTTTCATCTGTGGTTCTTGTCCCAAACATCTGTGGCCCTTGTTTAGTCATTACTGTGACACAAACCAGTGATTAACTTGCTTTATAGTCATGCCAGTTCCTTTCCCAACCCATAACATCCTTGGCTCCTGTTTTTTCCACTAAAATGGAAATGAAGGATTGGCACTTTGCAGTAGATGATGTGACAGCGGCAACAGTTGTATGAAGGTCAGTGTGATAGAAATGCGTTTTACGACGCTTGCAACCTGAAAACCATGCATGGAACACACCATCCAGTAAAACGTAATGGGCTATATCATGTGATATTTCAGGTTCTCAGGCTGTTCAAGTCAGCAGCATCCAGCGTGTGTCTATGTGGCTCTACATGTATTTGATCCCTGTGTTCTGTCTTTATACATAAAGTCCAGTACTGGATGCAAGTAAGCATCTAAATGAATGTGTAATAATAAAAAATATGACAACAAAAAAATAGCTATTCAGACGGTGCACTAGCTCCCCGAGCTTTTCTCTCAATTCAATTGTGAAGCTTGTGACAAAAACCAATTCATCACACATACCATTGCCCCTCTTTTCCCCTCTGGCTCATTTCCCCAAATAATTTAGGATCTACTGCCAAAGATGTTGGTGATGTGTTTGGAAAAATAAGCATCTTTTCAAGGTGATGATGACCCTCTCTGAGAAAAGGAAGGGAAGCCTCTGAAAATCCAATTATCCAAAGGCCTGCCTTTTTTTTATTGCCATCAGCAATGCTGGCCCATCAGCAGCATAGCAACTGTTTCCAACAATTGCCCCCACACTAATTCTATCGCTGTAGCCAGACTTGCCCAGGGTGTGGACATTAAGCTCAATTTTCATCTAAAAGTGATTGCATAATGTCTGACAATGCAGTTGAGAAAATTGGGTGTTAAGGTATAAATGGGATGATAAAAGGAGGCAAAACTTGATTTGAGAAACAAAAAATGGGAAAACTTTTATTTTATTCATGCATGTAAAGCAAATGTTTTCACTTCCATTTAGTAAAATCTCAGACTGTTAACTAAGGAGTGGGTGCATTCGAATGTTGACATCACTACAGTAATTAATGAACAAGAATAATTAATGACAATGTTAGTAATTTAGATACTTTAAGCAATAAGGGACCAGCAAACTGATGAAGGCAAAGAATAGACAAATACAGGACTACAGGCTATGAAACCATCACTGGTGGATGTACATTTGACAGAACTTACTCCTTATAGGACATATATCATAGATTATATACTATAACTTAATCACTATTCCTCCAACGCGAACATAGAGCAATTTATTTAAACATATCCAAGTATACATGGAAATACAGTATATAAGGCAAAAACAGAACTTTTGAAGGGCAATATTTGCATGACTATCTTTATTCTTTAACACAGCCTGAACTCCCTTTGGCAGTTTCTTTAAGTAGTCTTCAACAATAGTTCTGCAGGGTTCTGGAGGACAGTGGCTTTGGGGTCATGTTGAAAATTGAAGCCATTGCCAATCAGATGGTGCTTCATGGTGAATCCAAACCTGACAGCGTTATCCTGTGGTCATAATACCATAAATTTTAACAAGATCTCCAACACCACTGGCGGAAATGCAACCCCAAACCATGACAGAGCCTCCGCCGTGTTTTATAGATGACTGTCGACACTGTCATACCTCTCTCCTGACCTCCTCTGTACATACTGATGATAATTTGAATCAGAAATTTTGATTCACCACTCCATAAACTCTTGCTACTGATTTTCAGTGATGTTTTTGTGCAATTTGGCATCGATCACTATTTTCTCCCTGTTTGAATAGCTTATTGAAAGCCACCCTTCCACTGAGACCACTTCTGATAAGGTTTCAGTGAATAATAAATGGATCAACTGAGGAGCCAGATGCATGTTTTGGGTCCTGTGTCAGGTCTTTGCTGGATTTTTGCCTGGTTTCCTTAGGTTTTTAAAGGATATGCTGTATGTAGATTCAAATGCAACTTGTTGGTGCAAAAATACTATTTTACATGCATCAAACTGTGTTACTGTTGGTATTTTTCATAGATTCAAGTAAAGAAATGAAAACAAATGATGTGTTTTTGTGACAGGCTGCCTGAAGATACAATTTAAAATATATTTTGTTCTTTTGTTGTATTTTATGTGTAGACACAACACTGATTCACACCTCGAGTTGTCTTTTTATGCTCGAATGATTCACAGGTCAGTGTTAAGTGCTTAACAACAAAAGAGAAGAAGCATTCCTCTGAAAATGGTACATTTCAAGGACTTTACTATTTTGTCAAAGGCAAAGTGACAAGAACAGGGGAAGGATTAAGCTTAACGAATCCAAAGAAAAGAAATAACTCAGAAATTAAGTAGAGAGTAAAGAAGGTTTTTTTAAGAAATCAGATCCATTCAAACTGAATTCATTCATTAAACACTTGAAGGCAAAATAATAGTAAAACGAGCAGTCATTGCACTACAACATTTACTGAATGAATGAACAACCTGTTATCTTGGTCTTATGGAGCGAGCAAATATCAAATATGAAACCAGTTTTCTGTGGGAAATCCAGAACAATCAGTAATCTCTACTGAAATACTTGTTTACATAGCAAACACTCACATAGACAACTAAACTGATGAGAATAAACTGCTTCTGTTCATTCATCTTCACAAGCCTCATCTTCACCTGGATGTCAGAATCCTGATAGTGGATCAGGTAGTGCTCACCGTCATAGTCGTAGCACACAGGCGTCCTTTCCAGCTCCGCTGAAACGGGCGAGGTGACACACTTGAAGGGCTTCCTAAATTCATCTAGCAGAGTCAGACTCATAATGCAGCAATTCTACAAGAAGTTGAAAAGTAAATAAGTGCCAGTGTGTATATTTCCTGCCTGCCACACCACTGCTGGGAATTTTATGCTCGTGTAATACCTCCACTGTGCCCTGCAGGGCCTCACAACACCAGGGCAGGGTGATGTCACCAGACAGAGATGTGTGCTGGGACAGGTTTGTGCTGCTAATGACTGTTAGCTGGATCAGCCCATCAGAGATCTGAGCTAGACAGAGAAAACACCGCGTGTAGACATTTATACCCAATTTAAGACAGCTAAGCAGTTTAAGTCTACAAGCGCTGTAACCATCAAACACAAATAAACACAAATTTTTTATTGAATTTAGCTAAATTTTAACAAATTCAGAGGCTGTATCATATCAGTAGATTATTATATATAGCAGTTCTTACACCTAAAGAATGAAAGTTAGACTATGTGGATTAACGCTTTAAAATACTGAATGAAGACTTGAGTAAAGAAAGTGTTTTTGTGTCCCTTTTTTCTACAATGATCAACATTTTCTCTGCATTTTTGTTTCGTTGAATGAATTACTCTTAATGTATAACAATAATGGAAATCCTTAGAGTGAAGTAGCCTCTAAACTGATTGTATTGTCTGGTGTATGACTAGCTGTTAATAAAAAGTAAGTACTAAGCTGAAATATTCCAAACAGCAATTCAGAAGTCTCTTTTTTTATGACAAGAGTATAGATCGCAGGCTCACAAAAGTATTCAGTATTCTGAAATACCTTTCTGTATAACCTCCCTTTTATTCCACATATCCAAGTTTCCTGCCATATAGCTGAGGTTTAATTAGTTTGAAAAAGCAAGCCTGTAAGTGTTTGTCACACATGTGAAACAAACTATGGAGGCACATAAAAATAGTGCTGTACATGCCTAAATACAAATCGATTGGTCTTAGGAAATAAATACAGTCATAAATTTGCAGAAAAAAATGGGAGGAAAAAATCACAGCAAATGAATTCTTGATATTTAGGACTCTGTTTTGTATCCCTCTTAAAGTTACTATACATGTAAAACATAGGTATACTGTGGGGTTTTTTTTTATATTACCCACACAGTACAGAAGATTATTCATATTTCCTTGGCATAACTCACAGTGCTACTTAATGAATGTGGGTACAAAATGTGGGTATGAATGGATTACTTCTGCGGCAGAAGAGCTGGGAAAAGCTTCCGGACATGAGCTCGCATACAGTGTTGTGGAGAACAATGTGTAGCTGGTAACCATGGAGACCGTATTCAGGGTCTATATCACAGAAAGGGGGTTGGACCACCGGCTCCACATAAGAACTGAAAGGGGAAAAAGGGAAAGAGTTGATAAAACCAGAAAGTGTAAACTCTGTCTAGTGGGGGGGGGGGGGGGGGGGGGGGGGGGGGGGGGGTATCATGACAAAAGCATTTTCCTAAAAAAAGGCAAAGATCTATTAATTTTGTGGAGCATAATAAATAAAAGTGCTGTACTCCCACAGGAAACCAGGAGAGGGTGCTATATCCTTACTATGCTGAAGTACGGTATCATTAACACTGTGTGGTCCTGAAAATGTTTTTGTTTTCACGTGGATGGAAAGTAAATTACTGTTGGGTAATAACTCATAAGCCTCTGGAGCACCTGCGAGTCTGAGTGTAGACAAGAGCTGTGAGCAATTCCACCAGACAGCAGAGTTTGTACAATTCTAATCCTGAAAACTAATTAAATTAATTAAATTGTTAGTTCTCCAGGCTTCTTAACCCTTCGATGCACAACCTACCAATACGTACACTCTTCCACGAGTGGGGTCAAAAATGACCCCAAATAGAAACAATGCATTTTGCTATAAACTCGGTTGTTATTCTTCAAAATCTTTAAAACAAAGAGTTGTAACATTCTCATATTTGAGGTATTCCTCATAAAACATGTTTGTGACATGAGGCCTTTTGCATTTTTATTTATTTTTTCATTAATTTTAAGAAAGTGCAGTTTTTGTATCACTTGTACCACTTCTGTATGCTTGCTCTGCATATACTGCAGAAGCTGGGCCTTCCCTCTGAAAGGCACAAGTTGTTCATCCACTGTAACACAATCACTGAGGATGAATTTCTGCCTGCAGTTGACCAGGAACAGGCCCCATATGTAGCAGAAAACTGCCATGTGGTTTGTTTTCAGTCGGTAGGCTCTGGTCCTCTTGTCATCAAAGTGCAAGAAATGGCGAATATCTTTAAATCTTTGAATTGACATAGTGGCCTTGTACAATGGGTTATGCAGAGGACTCCCAAAAACACACCAACTGGTACATCCCAGTTCTTCTCACTTCCTACAAGAATGGTCAATCAAATGAAGGCCAGGAGCTTTTGTTTGATTACATTTTTCCACTCTTTTCCCCTGTCTGTGGCTACTCTTTGTGCCTCCATGTTTGTGCATGTCAGCACCTCTTCTATTATATTATCAGACATGAACATCTATTGGGGAGACAGTACTAGACCCAGGTGCAAGCCCTGGCCGACTAATTCAGAATATTGTGGCTAGAGCAGTAAGAGGGGCTCATACTGTTGGACTCAATATCCATTTCCTCTTCAGAGGACTCATCAGAGGACTCCTCTGTATCTGACTGGCCTTGTTCAGTGTGGGGGACAGTAGTCTGGATACTCTATATGTTAGATGTCAGATTCTGAGTCAGTGCCTCTGATGGGCTCTTCATCCCATCCGTCCTGGATCATTTGTAGGGCCACAGGGATCCTAGCTGGCCTCATAGCAGCCATGTTAAATATTTTTAAAAAATCAGAAAGGACAATGTTTGAAATGCACAGGAAACTATAAACAGGGGTGTACATAAGTGGTCCTCAGGTGCGCATTTGCTGTCAAAATAAAAGACGCATACCAGATAAGAAGTTGGAGCGCTCGTTTGCGTACATTAGATGTTCTGGAGGAGGACAGACATTTGTTCAGAACTCTTAAAGATGTTGAAGAAGCAAGCTCCGTAAGCAATTACTTTGGTATTCCTCCACCGCAGAAGAAGCGTGTATTCTCAGAATTTCTGGGAATACTTTTATTTTGACAGCGAATGCACACCTGCGGACCACTTATGTGTAGCCCTGACTATAAATCGTGTATGTTACTGTGTAAAAATTAATTCTTGATCCATCAGAAGTTTAAGTGGGACAGTCAGAGTTGCTAAGAATGAAAGTTTCATAGAAGATTCCACAGGAACTGCTTGGGGTCATTCTTGACCCCACTTGTGGAAGAGTGGGGTAGTGATACAAAAACTGCATTTTTTATAAATGAATGAAAAAATAAATAAAAATGCAAATGGCCTCATGTTACAAACATATTTTATGAGAAATACCTGGAATATGAATATATTACAACTTTGCATTTTAAAGATTTTGAAGAAAAACAAAACACGTGTGCATCTAAGGGTTAAAGGACATTCAAAGCTCTTCTTTGGAAGCCAGCTGACCTCTTACTGACGTACTGACAATGACTTGAACTACAAATTTCTAATCTGAATTCATCACCCCATAAAACCTGTTTCCAATGAGTTTCGCTCCAGTTCTTGTGTAATTCTCATACTTCAGCATTTTCTCCCTCTTTCCCTTTGTTAAGAATTGCTTCTTGACAGCCAGCCTCCCACTGAGACCATTCTTTCTACCATGTCTTTGCTGAATGTTTTGCTATTTCTTAAGCACATGACTTTGAGGTACTGTTCATCTGCTGTCATGATTTTAGGTCTAACACTTCTTCTTCTTTTGTCCTTGTTGAGAATTTTCATCTAATAGCTCAATTAGCCCAATTTAAAATTGGTTCTTTGCTAAGCTGTCTGTTATGTGGAGAAATCACACTGAATCGTCCCCTGAGTTGTGGGCCCTTTCTGTGCTCGATTGATTCGGTCAGTGTTAAATGGCTTAACAAACAAATAAAGAAAAACAGTTTTCTGAAATTGGACTGCAAATAATTCCAAAGAAAAACTATTTCAGAAACTCAAATCCCACTGTACAGTGCATCACTGCAGGAGCAATACTGTCAGTCTATACATCCCTTAAATTTGAGACGCAGCACACCTTGTATGGATGTTCATAAGAGGGGGTGGTTATAGTCCAACCTACCAAACAGAAGATCCCTGAGTGCTTCTTTCCACCAGCTTGTGGAAGTGGAGGGTGAACATGATAAAGGCAACTGAGCACTGGTCCTAGAAAAAAAAGATGCTTAAAGATGTCACTTCTCCCTGTGATAAATACTGTGTATCTTGTTCTGCTACTCTAAGCCAGTGAATAATAATCAAAACATGGGATGAATGCCTGAAGTAATTACCCTCCAGACACCGATGATGATGCCAGGCTGTAGCAACTTAAGCTGCACCAATCTGTCCTGGCCAATGACTTGCATGTTCTTAGTTAGAGTCTGCATGTCTAACTTCTCCATGAGGGACCTACAAACAGGGCTGACAGAGGAAGCAAAGACAGCAGTTGGTTTTACTGAGACAAGAGGCGAAACAAAGGGTGTAGATGGATGTCAGCTGCCTTTACCTCTTTGGGCTGACGCAGGCTAGCCTCCTGACACCGTACAGCTGAAGGGTGGAAATCTGCTGGTAGTCGGGCAAGCGGTCTCCTCCGCTCCAGCACAGTGTCACTGAAGTCTCAGTGAACTGGGACCGGCTCTGCTCCAAAGTGCTCTTACGCCCTGACCTATCCATGACTGTCAGTTCCCAGGTGACGTTCAAGTTTCTAGAGTTAGAAAACAGAATGTAGAATTGTAGGAACAGGACTTTTTGCAGTTTTGCAATAAAAGCAAGAAAGAGAGAAGAAGAGAGCAGGTGAGAGTGAAGCTAAGCATGGCAGAAGTGAACAGGTTCTTTAATACCAAATACCACATAAATAGTCCAAATGAATCATTGAACAAAAATGTAATCCATCCATTTGTCTTCTAATTTATTACAGTGAAAATAACCGGGCAGTGTTTGGCAGCGTTGCTCTTTAAAGCAGAAAAATTACAAGTTTATTTGCTGTTACATCTCATTTGTCAGCAGAGGGAAGTAGTAGGACTCCAGTTAAAGCTGTTCTTGCTAATGAAATGATATGCAACGAATGAAATTAAAACTGCAGCTGTTGTGACGAATCTCTTGATCCAGTTCTGTCTAAACTGTGATTCAGGGCTGCCCCTACTGTGATGCAGCCGGCGCCTCGCTGAGACACCATCCAATATCAATTAGGTGGGGGAACAAAGTTAAAAACTGGAGCAGCCCAGGGGGCTCCAGCAGCTGACCCCAGGGATTTCACTCTGCACTGCCTGTATGCTTGACGTCTTGTGAAATGATTATTACCAAGGTAAATCGCATGCTCCTCATGGTCTCTAACAGACAAAAAAAGCCCTATAGGGAGTTGTCTGAGTCAGTGGGAGGAAGGCTGAGGTGTGCGTGCATGCATATGTCTTCTGTGGATGAGGGGTTGGGGGGCTAAGTAATTTATTTCAACAATTCAGACAGCCCCTGCAAGGAACACAATTATTTCTATTTCCCCTCTGTACCACAGCGACTGCCACAGAACTCAATATTGAGTGCAGCACAGCCTCTAATCAGAGGTTATAAAAACACAGCAGAATCTGCGGTGGAGGTGGCGAGGGAGCTCTCCCCTGCGTGCTGGCATCCCCTTGAGCAGACATCACGTTCAGAAAGAGACCTCCTTCCTCACCTTTAATAAGAAAGTGTCATTAAGTGTGACATCAAAAACAAACCATACTTTTTGTTTTTGATTACCAGCAGCTTGAACTATCCTCTTGTGTTCTCCCCCCACCTCTCCAACCTTGAACTTTCTCAACAGCGAGGGTAGATCTCCAAAGTTTTGCTATTTGCTAACAGCAAACAATGAACAAAGGCTTCATACAGCTGCTTCCAAACAAATACCAAATCCCCGTTAGAGCACAGACACAGCACGGATCAACACACCTCCTTTCAACTAAAAGGATATAAAATTCACTATAAAAGTAGTTAACATGAGCATTTAGAGAAAGAATAATGACATATTTTTCTTTCTAAATGTGTTTGAGTAGGTGATACATAAAGTAAATGGAAAACCTAATTCCTTTGAACTAAACTTGGGTTTTCTCTCTTTATCTGTCTCACACTTCACCTGAGGACCCACTCTGTTTGGCTGGGTAGCCCTGTGTGAATACTGATGAGTCCAAGCCGCCTCGTCCACTTGATCATGTCACATTCGGCTACAGTCTTGAAGTACAGCCTCTTATAGTAACCTTCGGGTCGATCCTGCACCTCCATCGTGGCCATCCTCAACAGAGATTTGTCCATACACTTTTTATTCTTGCTGAAATCCGCAATGTAAAGCTTTCTCCACAGAGCACTGCAATGACAGCATCAGGAGAGTGACCGACTCGGTCAGAAAGGTTACAAACCAGTACAGTATGTCTAGTGTGATCATTTCTTACAGGGTGGCCAAGAAAAAAGAAGTTTAAGTTTTATTCATCAGAATGACAATATCAAAACATCAGCAGTGAAATTTCACGTTTGAATAAGTTCAATAGTGAATTCTTCCATTATAGGAATAATCTTTTCTACTAAGAGGAAACTATTTAACCCTGTGATGCCTGAAGCATGAAATCATTCCAGAAAGTTCTGATATTTTGGAAAACACGACTGTTTATTGAACCTTTTGAAAAAAAATTAAAGAAAGAAATTCATGTCAATTTGCATATAGTATAAGCTTCAGTTTGTATCATTTTTGCCACACTGCAAAAAAGAATCACACTGATGACCTGGAGCTCTCAAATACTCATGTATTAAATATGACACACTTGGCATTGCAGACAACACTGATCACTGAGTTCTTGGTATTCTTTGGTAGTTACTGGAGGACATTTGGGTTCTGATTGTGGTTCTGACCAACAACAAAAAAATCAATGTGTCAAGACTGTTGAATTGACCATAGGCTGCAATCTGGCTGGCTTTTTTACATTTCAGAATATGTCCTAAATGATATATAAATATATATTTTGATTTGTAGGACATGTTTTTCACTAACGTGAAATGTGTTAATGAACTAGACCTTTAATAAAACAAGTTTGTGCATCCACAGAGTGTCATGATCCTTGCCAAATCATGCAATCACAAAATCACAATTTTGAAATGTAAACTTTGTGCATTTTGATTGCCTCCAAAAGGTGGAGAGCTAGATGCTTCAGTACATAAGCTCAGTGAGGATCTCTAGATATGTGGCTTGAATTTCAGGCCAGATATCCAGAGATATGTGGCAGGATTAAAATTGGAGTAAAAGACCAGTGGAGCATAGCAGGTAATTTTTTCTAAATATCTAAAAAGAAACATGAACCTGAATATCAATGCACCACATATGGGTGCCGAAGCTTTTATGTTTAAGTAGTTGAGGAACTTGGGACCATGCTGTAAAGTTTCCTCTTTCAAGGTCTAATGCTTTTTCTCAGAAAAACAGAAGAAGAATTGGGGCAAAAACCACAGAGCTCCCGTGCCTTGGACTTAAAGGTTCTGCTGTAAGATTTGGAGGCATACTGTCCCTTTGCTATTGGATTAATTAACATAATCATGTATTTAATAAACTGTGGAAGATGCACTGACAAGATGGTACTTACTTGCTGTTGGCAAGCTGATAGAAGATCTTATTGATGTGGTTTATGCAGCAAAGTGTAGAAGCATCCAGGTATGACAAAATCTTAATCAGGATCTCAGATGGCAGTCTATGGAAAAGGTAATTAGACGTGACTACAAGGATGTGACAGTGTGCCTTCATGCCTCCTACTGTTCAGATTTCAGTCTATGAGATAAATGTGTTCTGAAAACACTGCTTGGAAATCGTGTCATACACTTCTGGCAATAAAGTGAAACTACTTATCTCTATGTTCTGTTTTAGTAGATATGGTGAAAAAACATAAATATGTAAAGAACTCAGCTGAGATTTTTAGATCTAAAGGTCTAATGAAAGCCATCCAACCATCCATCCATCTATCCATCCATGCCTGCTAATTACAAATACTGCTAGGTTTGTTGGCTCACAGCTGTCCTGGTTAATGATGCCATTGCTGTCCAATTAAATCACTTGAGTGAGCAATAAATTCATCTTCCTATCACCTGCCCGCTCAGTCACTGTCATTTCACTACATATCAACAACCAGATTAAATTACTTCAAGAATAAATTAATTAAGAAACCAGATTGGGCGTTGTTTTAACAAGGCGAATGATTTCATACGACAGCTTTAAAGTTCAGATTATCCAAACAGCCATCCTCTCACTGACTAAATTCTTGCAGCTGTAATAATAGTTAGCAAAAATAGATGTAACATGTGATATTAGAGCTCAAAAGTTCAGCTTAAGTCTACAACCATGGCAGTACAGAGCAGTGCTTTGAGCTGCATACGACTGTTACCTACATGCTTACTTTACAATGGGCTTGCATCATCTCACAGTGCTAACATGCTCAGATTTTGTCATATGTTAGTATTTCTGTATTGACTGATTCATGCTAAATACAAATACACTGAGGCTAAAGGGAATGAAAATTTATTTTTCAGTTATTTAGTTAGAAATTAGAAGGAGCAGAAAAGGAGACATGACCATTTCTGCACCTCCCTTTTCTTCTTTGCATGGTAGAGTTTTAACTTGAAAGTGTGATGATGATTTTCAGTGATGTGGTGCTTTCAAGGCCAGTCTCCAATATCCGATACAAATAGTTTAACACAAATGATTGAAATAATTCAATTGTTTGATATTTTTTTCTTAAAATGTTACAATCAGATTTAAGATGTGCATATAGTTAAAATAAATAAATAAACAAAGGGATCTGAAAAATATAATGTCTTTAGACCAACTGAATTTGGTCACAATTGGTATTTTTATTTTATTTTATTTTATTTTTCTGTATATTTGAATCAGTGAAAAGATTATGAAAATAAATCCGGGCTGCACTCCAAACCTCTAAGACTCTAACCATTGTTGAGTGAAACAATTATTTCTGCTCGTTGAGGCGTTCAGACTAAAACAAATATTAAAAACAACGCTGTTGCTAAATATGAACGATTAGCTGTTTTAACAGAATCATTTTGGTAGTAGAGGCAGCAACCGTCTACTAACTGACCTGTTTTTCTGTGTTGTAACTGCCTACATTTAATGGGAAAGAATCCAACTGCTTAATCCATGTAGTAAAGTGTTTTCCACTTGAATTGATTTACGCTGTGCTGTTATTGTATTTGTTGCTACAAATCCTTTTACTTTGAAGTCTATAAACAGCAGATCCACTGTTTGAGCGCTGAATGCCACAAAGATTAAGAAGAAGAAATGGCATGTACCGTGTATAGTCTCTGCATGCACTGACAGATTACCTTTCCATAAAGCTCTGAGTGGACGCTGGGGATGATTTGTCCGTTCTTTTGGACGTCCTTAATGCTCGCCCGGGAACGACTGCTTTCGAAGCTGCCATTTGTTCCGCTGGTCTTGACAACTTTGTGACAGTTACAAGATAATTTATATTTGCAAGGTTTTAAGGTCGTGAAACTTTAAAAGAGCGTTTATTTGACAGCTTTTTTACTTAAAGACCGTGAAGATAACATCCGGGATCCAAAACGAACAGCTGGTACTGTGTTAAATCCATGAGTAGGCTACATTAAATGACTTAATTCTCCTTGTGTGCTAACGAAATTCCGTGAAAGCATCCGGTCACCTTGGTGACATCGGGTCCAACGTCTTCCGGTGGGAAGAAGCACAAATGCCTTCAAAATAAAAGCAGAATTTAGATAGATAGATAGATAGATAGATAGATAGATAGATAGATAGATAGATAGATAGATAGATAGATAGATAGATAGATAGATAGATAGATAGTCTGGTCATTTAAGTAGCAGAGGGGTTTTATAATCAGTTTTAACTGCTTCGCATTGATTACATTAACAGCAGATCCACTAGAGAGGCAACAATGAGACAACAAAACAAAACAGGATTAGTTTAACAGATGGAGGCCAATGACATTTTCACCATCTTCATCCTTTTAGCTGATACTATCAGCTTATTAATTTAAGGTAAATACAACCATGTTGACATATTCAAATAGGCACACATCTTAACATACTATAGTACAACATCAAATAATATTATGTAACTCTCACTGTTAATGTGTTAGCTAGATTAACAGTTAGCACCCACAATGTGTTAGAGAGTTGTTAGCGAGTTTACAGTTTTACACAAGTTTGGCTCTCATTTTCAACATGTTTGAATCGATAATTAGTCACCCTTTAGTTTTTGTTAGCCTCACAGACCAAGAAATGCTATCAGCTGTACACACTCCACAGAGGCCCAGAGTTATTGTAGATGAACATTTAAACAGTTTTACAACCATTACACATGTACAAGGAACTCTGCAGACTGTAAACATTGAAATATAATAGAAAACTTTAAGATGTTATACGTAAAACATTGGGAGAGGGTTTCATGTAAATGTAATTTGTTCTTCTCATTTAAAGCATGACGCAAAATCTACATTATTATCAATGACTACATTTACAGTGGGCAAAAATGTGTGAGGAGGAGACCATCGGGGCCAAGCTGGATCTGGATTTCTGGATCCAGTGGTTTTTAGAAATCTCCTCCTCTTCTTTCATCACAGCTGTCCTGTCCCAGATGTGCTGTTGATCCACTGAGGTAGATGTCTTTTTAGAAACATCAGGAGGACTGAAGCTTAACTCAGTAATAAAGGAGGACATTTAATCTTCACCAGCAATCTTCAGCCGACTGTGCAAAATATATGGATTTATTGTTAACAGTGTTTTGATCAGCTGCCCTGGGCGTCTTCTATTAATGCTTCATTTTATGTTTCTCAAAGGATGTAGGCTACAGAGCATACAGTCATTTAGTCTTTCATATAACTCTAATAATAATTCAGAATGCTTTTTAACCTGAATATTTGAAATAAAAACTCTCACTTCCAAATCTAGACCTATAAAGAGCTGGTGAAAGTCAGAAATGTAGACATAAATTTTAGTTTCAGCTCATATGTATTAAGCTTTGCCATTTTCTTTTGACATATTTCGCTGAGTAAAAGCAGCTGTAGTCACTTCATAAATGCAATAAGAGCTCACTGGAAAGTATCTAAAATACAACTAATGATATTTTAATATCTGAATACTGACTGAAGGTGAAGTTGTATTTACATGCAAAGAAAGGATGGACCCTCCCTCTCAGACTGAGTTTATGAAACTTAAATTAGTTTTAATGTTTGCTACAAATGGGGGAAAACACCTCAGCCAGACAGCTGTGGTTAAACCCTGTTCACTTTAATTGTGTGTTAAAAATCTGTGTTTTCAGTATTTAGAACACATTTCTGTGAATCACCATCAACAAACTGAGATATCAGGTAGAAACTAGAATTACAGGCAATTTGTGAATGTGAAAATTTCCAATCTTCTTAGTAATCCATCTTTGCTTAATGCTGTCTTAATGTTATCGAAGTGCTCTTTTTTTAAAGGCAGCAGTGTTATTGATTACTTAATTTATTGTACTGTTACTGTCCATTCAGATGTGGAAAGAAACAGAAACATGCTGCTGTTTGCAGATAGTTAATAATCAGCTCTAAACAGGAGCTGAAGAAGAGTCCAGCCTGTTACTCTTACAGTATATAATGAATGACTTTTCTCTGTTTCTCATATAAACCGTTTCAGTGCCTCATCTTTGGCAGCCTGCTGCATGAATTAACATCCTTCTGTTCGGTAAGTCAGAGCAGCAGAACTAATGTCTGAACTACAGCGCTGACTTTTAATTAACATTCAAGCTCAACAGAGTGATTTCTTTAGTCGGGGTGAATTCATTCATGTGCACAGATTAGCCACCGAACACCGGCTTAGCTTACTCCTCGTCGTAGCTAGTTATAGCTAAGGATGCTAATTTACTAGTTAGCTTAAAATCACACATTTTACTCATAGAAAAGGTACAACAGTGCCTCTGATCACTTATGTTGGTTAGTTCAGTTTACTGCAGAATACAGCATGCTGTTAGCTTTAAACAGAGAGTCGTGGTTATGGGAAGTAAAGGTTGGATCTTCTCTCAGTCTTCATCTGCAATTCACAACAGAGATATGAGAGTTTCTCCTGACAGGAGCTGTCAATCAAAGACATCACCGTGATATCACACCCTAATTTTACAGCTTTGGGTGAGTAATTTGAAGCATAATCATGAGAAAAGTGACCACCCTTGAACCCAAATCAGCATGATGAGAACTACTCATCTTTGGGAAAACCTTTTTTTTTTGTTTAGTTTGACAGCTCTGTGTTTGACAGCGAGTGTCTGTGGTCATCTGTTAAACACAGTGGAGGCTCTGTCATGGTTTAGGGCTGCATTTCAACCATTGATGTTGGTGTTTTTTGCAATTATGAATGCAGAAAAGTACTTTCAAATATTAATCCATCATCCAATGCCATCTGGAAAGAGCCTGATTGTCAGCAGCTTCAACTTTCATCCTAAACACACTGGTAATGCAGTAAAAGCATACCTGGGTAGAAAAACACACAGGGGAACCTTATGAGTCATGGATTGGCCTCCCCAGATTCGGGACCTCAACATTATTGAAGCGGTGTGGAATCACCTTGACACAGAACACAACAAAAGGCAGCCAACGTCCAAAGAAGAGCTTTGAGTGTCCTTCAAGAAGCCTGGAGAACTATTCCTGAAGACTACTTAAAGAAATGACAAGAAAGCTGCCTGGGTTCAGGCTGTGTTATAGAATAAAGATGGTCATAACAAATATTGAATAGCAAGCTGATTAGAATTGTACGAACTCTGTTTTTGATTTATATGCTATATTCCAATGTATATTTTCATTTTTCAATAAATAGCTGGAAGGAACCCTTCCACACCGCAGGTATGAGACATAGTTCAGTGTTTGTGTGGTCAAGAATAGTGTTAAGGTCTAACAATGTGCCACTGTGATCTGAGTCTTCTGTAACAGTTAATGGCTTCTAGCCAGAGTCCATGTTCAGGTTGTTTGAAAGCAGTTTAGGATTTATGCGATGTTTGGAAAACAAGAATTACAATAAATGTGCATTTTTGTCTTATAACACAGCTCACCCAACTAATCTACCCCAAAACACATTTTCCAACTTTCCAGTAACTGTTTCTCTCATTTATGAGGTAATTTAAATTAAGGTATATTGCATATTACAGAAATTAAGTTGACTTCTCCTTTATGATAGTGATGCTGCATCTAAATTTTCTGAAGCAATGAGTTTGCACACTTAAGTAAAGCCAACTTGTAAGATTTTACCTTGTAGTTCCCACAGGGCCGTAAAGTAAACTGTTGACGCATGTAGATGTACAGAGTACATATTTACACATACTGCACAGATTTACTTTCATTTCCTGGGGGGCTGAACACATTTGACCTTTACCCCTAAACCACGATTCAAACTGCACTCCTAAAATTTCTTAGTTTACCTGAGAGAAAGCTACCTTTATCCTGCTATTGAGATTCCAGTCTCTACAGTGTGATTAATACAACTGTGGACACACACACACCACACACACAAATTAATAGCTGTCACTGTAAGCTTTAGCAGGCACAGTACCGCCTGCTGTAACCTTTCCCTGGATTACCAATATAACTCCTCATCAGGGTGTTAGCTCAGCACTAGCAGGGGAGGAAAAGGCAAGATTGATGCTATTTGTCTCCTCACACATGCTAAGATAGAGGTCACATCTTACTGAACTAAGACAAGAGAGACAAAACACAGTCTCTTTCTCCACATTCATTCATTCTCCAGCAGTGAGAGAGAGGACTCAAAAATGAAGCAGTTTGAGAGCCTGACCTCATTTCAAAGATGAAGATACAGAGTCATTTATAGCTGCACATAGACAGATGGACTGGCAGAAGGATGGACTGGCAGATATAGTGGGTATTTTAGATCTGATGAAGCATATAGTGGCATGAGCACATGGAGTGGATCTTGTTTAATTTAATTCGTTATATGCCTAATATTTATAATATTTGTGACAGAGGTATTGATATGTAGTTGTGCACAAAAAGGGACACTAAAAGTATACATGCATGTGTGTTATGTACAGAGAAAACATGCAGAAAGATGATAAGTCATTTTCTTTGCAAAAACAGATGGCTCACTTTAAGACCCATCCCATAATTGACCTCCCCCTTTTCCTAGAAGCCAGTAGGCTCTGCTAGCTGTCAGGGAAAATCACCATAACCCTGTTGTCACTCTAGCTGATCAGCTTGCCTGATGAAAGTGAAGTCCCTTTCAGGGCAACAGCAGCCCCTGGTATAGTAATGGCATGTAGGCCACATCCTTTTTGCTTGCTTGTCCCCCGTACTTGACATTTGATGATTTCTGTAGCTATGTGTCCTTCTAAAGGCCCGAGGACAGCTGTGGCTCTTGGATACCTGATGTCACTCTTCCGCATGGTTTGTCAGTCGGCTGTGACAGTGCAGTGTTTGTCAAATGGGAATGAAGGGAGCAAAGGATTAACCATGATTAAGCCTAAAATAATGTATTTTTAGTAGAGGACTTAGCATGTACAAAGGCATGTGAAACACACTGCACAAGTCACATATTCTTCAGCTGTGTCTGAGCTTTCAACACTTATTAACAGTGATATATTCTCTACCTGCTCATCTTATCCAATCGCTTACTTGCGTGAAACCCTAAAACAAATTCCAGCTCTGATAAATCAAAA